AAATTTGGAGGTATTGGCTCACTCATCATAAGTTGGATGAGCAATTATGGTATTTTTAGTATGGATCCATGAGATAGATCTTAGTATGGACCATACCATAGCCTATGGATGATCTTGTGATATTCAAGCTGATGGTCAGTCAAGTCAAAACTTTTTGGTGAACGAATAAGCTACCTTATAGTTTATTTGGTTAGCTTATAAGCTCTCTGTATTCAAATAAACTCCGTTTGGAATGACGAACTTTTTAATAAACTCGAGCTTATTTGATAAGCTTATTTGGGTAACTTTTCAAATAAGCTCGTTGAAAATTTTATTCCACCCAAGAACGCTTGGATGAGATGGCTTGGGTCTCTTCCAGCTTAACCAGTGGTCTCGAGTTCGAGCCCTGAGAATGCAGCAGTGTTAAAACTCTTGAGGGAGAGCTTTGCCGCCCTTGTGGTCCTACCCGGCTCGATTCCGGATTAGTCGGTTCCCCTGTGGATTCAGAAACCGTAAGGTCCCTGTACCAAAAAAAAAAAAAAAAAAATTATTCCAGCTAGCTTATCAGCTATTTTTATTAAATACTTTTATCATATAAGTTAGCTTTTCAATTATAAGTCATAAACTATAAGCTCAAAATTATTATAACTTATAAACTAGCTTATCAGTTAGTTTTATCAAATATAGCAACCTCAAAACGTACTAAGTTACAATGAGCTAAGGTAACAACTATTTCATATAAAACCTTGGTAAAATAGATTTTCTTAATCCTTGAGATTGGAATAAAGGTAGCCACTAAAGACAATTTTAACTAAGCATATAGGCATAGTACTAAGCTCAAAAATATGCAAATCGTTTTTCTGGCCTTCACTCTTTTCCTTTTTAGATTCCAACAACACAGTAGTCGATTACCTTTTCAGATTGGATCTCAAAAGTTGCTTTAAGTTGCAGACTTTCTTTCTTTAACTTTGACCGGCACCTTAAAAGATTAACATTTAAGGAAATTTAAGGAAATATTACGGTCCCGTTAGATCATCATGTAATCATCGTGTATAGTTGATCTAACAATTACAAACTAAAACGAAATGATTCCGTAACGAACTGTTTATTTTTTAAAATTTTTTTTTGGGAAGTAACTTATTAGTTAACTGACGAGAAAGTAAATATGAAAACGCGTCTAATGAAGCTGTCAGTTGGGGAGAAAATTGTTTATTATGCTATTTTGGTGTGCATTATTTTTGGTTAAAGCAATTGATGAAAGCAAAGATATTCGGCCTGCCTTTTATTGCAAATGAGATCATCACGTGATGTGATTTATGCCCTTAATTGCGTAAAGTGAGCTTGACTGATTTGAACATTTCATTGAAAAGCTAAAAACTCAAAAATCAAAATAAACAGATAATGTGAGTTAAATTGATAGAATATTATACAAACCTTACTACATGAACCATCCTGTGGATAAGATCGACCTCACTTTCTCTATCTTTTTTCAGTATTATAAAAAAATTTTAATTGTTTTAATGTAAGATAGTATTAACTTTGATATGCGGGAATTTGAATCGGCTTGAAACGGAGACTAAACTTTTGACGGTTCGAGTATTGCCGATAACCTACAAACTAAGGTCGGAAGGAGCTTTCGGCATAAAAACACTGACGTTCAAGTCAGTGATAGAGCATCGAGATATTTCAGTTGTACCTCATACTCTTTATGTAGGGAGAGTAGCTTGGTGCCTAAGACCTTCTACTGTTTGGGTTGCCCGACTGTCCGAGATTAATCTGTCCTGAGTTGATCGACTACCCAAGGTTAATATTTATCTACTTGTGTTCATCCCTATTTTGATTATATTCGTCTTTATCCTTATTGTGTACACAGTTGCTCACATTCCATTGTTCACAGGTTTCCTTTTACTCAGGTCGTCATACTCTAACTTGTCTTGCCTTCGTCCAAGTCAAGTAGGTTGATCGTCATTATGATGATGTGAGTGACATAGTCAGCTATGATCCTGTCCTTTTACTTTACCTGCTCAAGGCCGATTCTGGTTATTCTAGTTCAGTCAACTTACGGCTTAGTCGACTTGCTTAGTGTTGTTTAGGCGACCATGACTTACCTTTGTACCGATCGAACTATTTTAGTCTACGGTGCTAATCTCGGCTCAGCCGAGCTGAAGCAATACTCCAAGAAAAATCAAGCTATAGACCGCTTGGAGTATGGTCAATCGATGTGACATGAAAACATTTTTTGATGTGTCAGACGCAATAGACACGAAAGGACATTTTTGAGTTTGAGGCATCACCTCGAGAAATCTACCTTCAATCCTCCTAAAGAGTACTTTACACTTTTAGTATGCCAAGTGTTTTGTGGGCTCCATTTACCCCAACGAGCCCGAGCTACTTCCCCTTCGCTCTTTGTATAATGTCCCCCATCAACCATTTCAATAATTTCTTTTGTGATATTCTCCAAGATAAAGCTAGCTGAGTTTTCACCCGAGCGATTATTTTATTGTCAAAAATTAAAATTTTAAAAGGGGACCCATTACTTGACAGCTTGAAACGAAGCTAATTTCCTTCAAGATCTCACATCTAATTTAATTTTTTTCATTCGACCTCTCCGTAGGCTTTGTTACTTTGCCCGCACCTGCCTAGTCGTATGTCCTTCATAGAAGAAGAAACTTCGAGCAACGAGTGACTAGACAAGACTTTAACTACCTAGAATGGGAGTCTTATTGGGTTCTATTAGGAACGTGTCGAGATGTACCTTCGAATCCAACGAATTAAATCCTAACGCAGCGTAATCTATAGTTAGGATTACGACTTACAGTATTTAAAATTTTGTCGACACTGAGACGTTTCTGATTTCCATAGATGAAGATTTTCTGAAAGCTCAACGTCCCCAGACCTCGACCGAGCCTAGCATCTCACGTCTCCGATTGCTGGTCGCTCGCGTTGAGCCGTCCTGGATCGCCAGTGACTAAATTGAACTGCCCAGGCTCGTCGTGTGCTCACCGGTGGGCGTCGGGATGCTAGACAGCTAGCCTAGACTTAGGTGCACTGTTGGCCATGTTGGGCGCGTTCTGGACGTGCTGGGCTCGAGATGGTCCTCGGTCATGCTAAGGACTAGGCAGTTGGGGCTTGGAAACACGCATGTCGCACGGTGGGCTGTGTTGTGACGTGCTCGAGCAGCACGCACGTTGGTGCATCACGCACAGGCAATGCGCGTATGCTAGGACGCTGAGGCATCAACCAGGGATGGCAAGACGCTGAGATGGGTTGCGCGTCTGCGCAAGGTGGGTGCAGATTGCGCGTCTGCACACACTGGATGTGGGTCGCGTAGTGGTCCGCGCGACGGGACGAGTCTGTGCAGCTGTGAGTGTGGTCACGATTGGACCTGGCTAGAAGACTGATGTCAGGTTGCGGCTGAAGTGCGGTTTTCTCTGGTAGGTATGGATGATGATCTCCGGTCTCCGGTGGTCATGAGTCTCAATTTTCATGAATAACGGACAACAACAGAAATTACAAATATTTTACGGGGTGTGAATATATAGCACGAGATACAAACAACAGACCAAAAGTTATTCTGCTATATTACCCAAACACCTTCTCTAAACGATCTTGGTGAGCGGTTAAACAAAGCTCTCGAATCTCACAAACTCTTAAGAAATCTCAAGTCGAACAAGACTCTTGGGAAGAGTGGAACCAATCGTGCATGTGAGTGTTGGGATCTATGAGGATCTCATTATGCACAAATCACGAATTCAATAGCAAAGCGTAAACCTATGCGCAACGGATCTAAAGGTTTGCGTAGAGAACTTACGGCTTAAAATTTATGGCGATCTGGCTGATCTTCTGGAGGGCCGTACACAACACATTAATGAAAAGTATACTGCAAATCGCGTCCTAGGGTTGCACGAACAAGATCGGATCGAAAACCAGATCAAACGGGTGCAAACGGAAGAAGACTAAGTTGCAGTTCTGGGAGCTTGCGGCAGCGCGTGAGGGCGCGTGTGGCATTGGATGGCTGCAATCTCGACGGCGTTGGAAATCTCTCGTTGAGACGGTCGTCTGGGTATGCTGCACGTCTTGATCAGATCTCCAGTTAGTTCTGTACGATAAAATATATTTTGTCTCAGTTTAACCCAAACATCTTCTACTGTATATCTCAAACACCTCTTATTCTTGTACCGGTGGAACAACAAGAAGAAGATAAAGCTCGAATGGAAACTGAGAGAGAATATGGGGCGTCGGTTATTGGCGTGAATTATGAAACTTCTCTCTCTTCCCATGAGCTTAATGATGTATATATAGAGCTACAGTAGGGACCCTTAAGATATTAGGATTAGGACTCCTTAATTAATTAAAATACTTGTGAACCAAACCACTTATTTTAATTAATTAAATAATATTAAATAGGTCACCAACGTAATATTATTGCACTCCCTTTTTCTAGCCCAATTTACAATTGAGACTCCAATAATAATTACTCGATTTATCTCCCCATGTTTAAGATATATAATGTCCATTAATTAATTCGATTATTGACAATCAACAATTAATTAATTTATTATTATTTCACCGAAGCTAGCACTCGTTCATCACATTATTACTATGCTGAAATTTAATCTACCTGCAGGGTTTAGCATAATAATCCTTCATGAACTCACTCTGGGGACATCATCAAACTAACGCACATGGTGACCGTAAATATCCTAACAGCACATCCTACATGCAGCAATATTACCCAAGACAGCGGGTCTATTGGCCCAGTTCACTAAGCCTCACCCATGTGAATGAAAGTAATAAGTACTACACATATATGCCTGTTTAATATCTTGCGGGTTAAGAGTACGCAGTAATTAACCGAGGCCTATTTCATTTACGATGATTAGTATAAAACG